TTATTGCCAAGAAATCACACAGCTGTGTCCATCAAGTCACAAGAAATGAAACCTGATTTGAGAGGGAAATTATTTTATTTTGAAATTATTTTTATTAATAGGTGTGTCTTAAGCAGGGCACATTGATTTTCTAAATCTTTCTTCCTATGTTCTAGTGCACAAAGAGATGCAAGGACAAATTTCAGGAATTTCTGCTATTGTTTGGAAAATAAACTCAGATAGCATATTCCACTAGCTTCATACCCTAGGATTATAGATTAGTGGAAAAAGTAATCACACTAAATGTTCCTTTATTTCTAGTTTATGAACTGATGGAGATCTAAGAGTTTTATACTGGATTCCCATTTTTTTAAAAAAACAAGTACAGTAGAGTTTATCTGCAATACATTTAATGTCTTTTACAGGGGTTTGCAGCACCCATACAATATTTGCATTGTTTTAATGTCTAAAATTATTCACATTATTCACATTGTTATAGTTTCTGTGTAAGATATTATTATCTTCATATTGCAGATGAGATGAGGAGGCAGTGCTAAAGCTAATGTATTTATCACAGTGAAAACTTCAGTCTAGGAAGCTGCCTAAATTATAGCATTAGAATTACTGATATTTAAATACCATTGCTGGTCACTGCATTCTTATTTGCTCTTTCTGTTTCTACAGTGTGGCTTTCTGGTGTGGTGTATGGCCGCAAGTCCCTCAAATGGAGCAGAGTTCCTTTACAAGAGAATTATACGCCCTGTCTTCTTGAAGCATGAGGCTCAGGTGGATAATGTAATGAAGGACTTAAAAGATAAAGCTGGAGAGACAACAGACACCATTACCAAGGAAGGTAAGCTGAGGCCAGCAATGCCAAATTTACACAAGTCTATTTCGTAGATAATTATGCATTAATGCATTGTTTTTACTTAAGTTAATCAGGGGGAAAAACAATTTACAACGAGATTGTCTGTTTCTGAACTATGTGAGTGCAGAATTTGTTACTGTTTGTAGAAAAACTCAATGGTCATTTTTTTCCAAGCTGAGTCTCCATACCAGCCTTTCTGAAAGTGTTATTTCTCCAGATGTATATGATTTCATTCACATGGGCTGGGCATTCTAATTTATTTCAGAAACTCTAGGTCAATGATGGTGAATCTTTTTCTTATGGCATGCCAAAATTGTGTGTGCCCACTCAATTCCCTACCCACCTGCACATGCATGCGCAACCCCTCCCCAGGCTCCCACAGGTTCCCGGAGGCCCCCCGGAAGCCGGAAATGGATCTTTTCCAAACTTCTGGTTGGCCTATTGGGGTTGCTTTTCGCCCTCCCCAGCCTCCGGAGGCTTTCCTAAACCCTGGGAGGGTGAAAACGAGGTCCCCTGACCCTCCGGAAGGGTGAAAAATCAGCGGGCCGGCACATGCATGCGTGCTGGAGCTGACAGCTGGCATGCCAGCAAATATGGCTCCGCGTGCCACCTGCCATACATGCCATAGGTTCGCCATCACGGCTCTAGGTTGAGGAAGACTGCTCTGCTCTATTAGGAAGACTGCAGCAATGAGCTATAGATTTCGTAGACAGTGAAATTTCAGAAGAAAGTAGAATAGTCAGGGAGGAAGATTGTGATACTTATCCTATTTATTCATTTTCCCAAATAGTAGCAGCCCCCCAAAAACCCTGTCCAAGAAATTTAGTAACTAAGTACATTAATCAAATATTCAAATATATTTATCTTTTGTAATTTATACTGATTACATCATGTTGAGTACTTGTAAATTGTTTAATAATATAGCACAGTACAAAATTATGTATGAAAGAGTGGAATAATTCCATTTTAGTTAGAGATGGAGTATGTTGACTACTCCATTCCACTCTCTCTTTTCATTATTTCTACTCCTAGTTCTTTGTTATTATATGCAAATGTGGATGTTGTCCCATAGGAGTTGAAAATAATTCTACTCATGTAAATGTAGCAATAATTTTGAGTTACCTTGTTATAATATTGTTAAGAATAATGGATTTCTTTCCTTCTTTTAGTTAAAAAAGCTGCAATAAATTTACTGGGCGATGAGAAGAAGAGCATGTAAAGCAATTAACTGGAAGAAAATTCTCCTTATCACTACCTTTATACAGTGTGATGTTTCTGGGGACTGTGATACAGTAATTTGAATAATGTTGCCTTGTAAACCTTTTTGAGTTTATTAAAAGAATGTATTGTAAGATTGCTTGCTGTTTTTGCAGTTTTCTGTATTGAAAGTAAGCATTTTTATTTAATGTCACTGCGGTAGATGGCATCTAAAGCTTATACAGTTTCTAAGCAGAAAGATTTTCAGTAATGTCTTATTTGCCTTTCATGTAATTTTCAAAAGAAAATATGCCCCAGGCTCTGAATATTACACCATTTGTGCATGCAGCAGCTGTATGTACAAATCTCATTTCATGTTTGACTAGTTCTTGCTATAGCATAGTTTAATATCAAAGTGTAACGATAGTGATTTGGTGTGTGTAGCTTTGTATATATACAAGGAATAATAATTAATTAGTCATGTGTGTTGCTGTGTATCTCTTTTCACACAGACCTTCTCCAATTGCTTATAATGTTGCAAGAATAAAGTGAGATGACAGTGCTGGAAACTGATTTTCTGCGTGAAGTACAGACTGGTTGTAACTTGCAATATCTGGTTTAGTATATGTATATTGACTTAGCCGTTCCCTTTAAACACTGAAAAATGAACCCTTTGCCCAAAGTTATTGAACGTCATCATATTGGAATGTCATAGCACTTTTTCTAACACATTTTACTAAAAAGCCTAAGCTTTCTTGAGCGGTGGCTCACCTAATTAGATGCAGAGAACACAGCTCATAAAGTCTGTGCTTTTTAATAAAATCTGCTACTCAGAAAAGGTACTACAAGAATACTTTTTTTTTTTGCTAATGCATAGGCTGGCTCTCCTCCTACAATAATACCTGAGTGGTGTAACCAAACAACTGTTATTAAAGCAGAGAAATTTTCTTCTTCCCCATTGGCACTCTATTCTGGTTCACTGAACTTCAATCCTGTAATGGGTTTTTATAGTGATGGTGTTTCATGTGAGCAATCCCACATGATGCTTGCTCAGTTTCTAAAATAAAAGTTTAAAAAGGACTTTGTTGTGTTCTTTGATGTGTTTTAGTTTAGATTTTACTTGGCCTTGAATGCTTACTTAATGCTTTACTTACTTGAATGCTATTCATTCTATAGGCTCCCCTTGGTTTTCAGCTAAACAGCAGCAAGATGAGGGAACAATGTATGCTTATGAAAGAAAGCAGGTGGGCAGTCACATCTCGTATAAAAAAAAACATTTTGCTCAAATGTACTGGCCTAGTTGCCACAAAAAGCTAAAGCACAGTTCTTTATTATTGACTATGCAGAAATTCAGACATTTGACTGTTAACAGATATACCAGGCAAATACAGTTTAATAAATTATGATTAAAAACCCTGGTCTAGCACTTGCAAATGTATCTTGTATTGCTAACGTCAATTTATTTAAAAGGAAAAATGCATGAATTGCCTATAGACACCATCTGCTTTCCATTTTTAGTCATTTCTGTTGTTTAACAATTAATGATTTTAGTGATGTTTCAAAATGCGTTTCTTCAGTAAAGGTACTGTGATGATGTGTTTGAATCCCTCCTCTATAAGGACAATGTTCCATTGCACAGATAGTGAGAACTACTGACTGAAATATTAAACTACATGTGCTAATATCCATCAACATAATTAATTATCCCACTAGCTTGGGGAATTTCCCAATATTGCTAATAGCACAGAATCTCTTAAGCACACATTTCAAAAGAAAGGGATTTAAAAATAAAATACTTTGAATTGTAGAGATGTAGTAAAGAACAAGGAAAAGTGTCTCTCAGAAATAGTAATCTCTAGAAAAAAAATAATTCAAACTCAACTTCCAGTTGTCATTAGAAACATGCATGTAATTTTATTAACAACAATATAGAAGTGGTTTGCTGATGTCACTTTGTAGATATTTTAACTTCCCAATCTAAATTGCAACTCTTAGATTCCTGATATCATCCTAACCAGGCCTAATTCTGCTGCTGAGCAGCTGGGCGCTGCCCCCTTACTGAGCACCACAGCATCTTACTGGAACCTAAATCCCATTAGTATAACAAGCACACAAAATGTGGTCTATATATGAATATGTTCCATGTAAAATGAGATAATATATGTCACTAAAGCCAATGATGCACTTATTGTATTGTTGCAAAAAACTATTTGTGCTACATATATTTCTTTATTAAGTTCCTTCTGGAAAAATCCACATCATGCTTGCAATCATCTGGAAAGTAAAGATAGTAGATAAAAGTGTGCAAGTCAAACCAGGCCAGGTGGGAAGTTTCCCATTTGGAACTGCACTAATTAATTTGCATGGGAGTAAGAAAACATCAACATATTATCTAGGGAAGAGGTTTATACACTTGGTCTTTTATTGCTTTTGTAATTTTATGCCCTTGGGATAACTTCAGTGTAAGGGAATATTATTGAATAGCTAAAGTTGATACAGAAAGATTTAGAGAATGATGTAAATTAAAATTGAAGTCAGCATCATAAGAGTAAGTCTCCTTCGTTCATTAATTGCTGATGCAAATATCTTCAATTTTAAGCCACAGAAATAAGTCTTAACTGTCATCCCACTAAACTAAACTGAGGAAGTGCTGAAGTCAAAAATATATGATTTTACAGTTTTGAGTTTGGTGAAAGATAAATCACTACTGTACTTTTCACATGAAGAAAACAATAATCCTGTCAAATTCTATAAATTTCCACCATATATTGTCATTATAGATAGAATGTCATAGATTCCTGTATTTTCCATATCTTATTATTTATATCAACTACATAAAATATTGATGGTACAATAATATTATTTCAATTTAGAAATACTGATCATCTTAACTAATGTAATGTTATGATAGATTTTTTAAAAGTGTAAATAACAGTAAAAACTAAACAGAATCAAATTTTTAAAAAACATATTATAATTATTATACATACAGTGCTGAACCAAACCTGGGTCTATGGACTTTTCAACTATTGTTACCAATGTTTTCTTTTAAAAAATATTTTAGACATTCTTAGATATTTTGGCACTTAAAAAGAAAAAAAAAGTTCAACTATGTAATTTAAATTAAAATTATTCCATTGGACATCTATAGAAAATATATTGATATAAACAGTAGTTTATGAGTACTTTCCCTGCAATTCCCCATGAAATAGAGATGTTGTAATTCTCCCAGGCATGGCAGTTTATTGACCTCCATCAAAAAAATGATATAACTGGAAACAGTTTAGCAATTAAAACAGTTTAAACAGTTTAATTCAAACATGTTTATTGTAATAAAGAAATTGTTCCAGAAGCCCAAGATCACAGTGATAATGTATTTTCATTGTACAATTATCAAATGAAAATGTGTCCAAGGCAAAAACAAACAGCTTTGCACTCATTTGTACATATAGTTCAATACATTAAAACATTCTTTTCTCATATGTTTTAGATACTAGAAAAGGATTTTCTGTTCCCAAATGGTTCAACCATAATTTTATGTAAAATGAAACTCATTCTAATTCAAAAACTATCACAAAATAGCTTTGCATGTTTTCATTGGTCTGTCCAACTGTCATTTGAAGTCATTATTCTTCTGTAACCATATTCAACTGAACATATAGTATTAGTCCATGTCATATTCATTTCTTCTTTTTTCCTTTATTTTTTTTGCCACCTTCTCCTTGCTGTAGACTTGGGTCACTGCCTCCCATTTTCTGTGTTCTTGTTTTCAGTTTGGGAATTGTTTCTGCTGCATATAACATCACTGCCTTACCTAAATAAACAGAGAAAAGAACAAGAAAATAATTTATTAAGAAGAGGGTAACCAAGAATTATCCATCATTTGCACTTCATAATGAGCAGTTTAGCTTCCATCTATAAATGAATAAAAGGAACAAATCAAACTTATGCATATTTATAAAACTCACGTGTTGGAAACTGAGGCTGACATAGACTACCATCATCCTGCTTCAGCTGAATGCGAACTCTACCCCTATATTGCGCATCACGGTTCCATTCCCTGGAATACATTTTGTTTTTCTAGTACATGGAGAAAAAGTTCAGAACATTACAAGCAAGCATAAATAAAATTGACACTTATAATTATAAATCTACTTTGGGAGCAAGAATCATCCAACAGTCCTAATAGTTACACAGGAATAACTAATATAGGGCTGAACTGTTTAATAGTCAAAGGTATTACCTTAGTAATTCAAAGGAAAGCTGTGTAAGAAAGATTACTTGACCCCATGAAACAATTGTAAAGTTACAGCTGCGTGAAAAAGTCCTGCATGCTTTACGGTTTATGACATTTTTTTGGATAGGCCATTGATTTTATGATATTTTATGCTAACTGCTATGCAAATATCATTATATTTAAATAAATACTGGTGGTTTTTAAGTGAAAAGCATAAGCTTTTTGCAATCTGGTGCTGTTTGGATGGGGATTATGAATTTTCTTGCATGCTTACAATGATTATGAAAACAGATTAACTGATGCATACCCAGTGGCATACATGTTGCAATTACTAAGGCCAATGCTAGTGTTTTGTTAACATTTTTATTGTTCGTGGCCCTGAAAAGGACCATTTAGGTTACCAAACATGGTTACTAATATGAAATTGGCCAGCCCTTATTGCTTATCACCAGGCGGCATCGCTTCGGCATAGACTGTATAAGTCTTTGCACGTGATCTTTGGTGACAATGTGGTGCCAGGCTGCAATAATGAATGCAAAGAGCTCCTGCTTGGTCTTCAGATGCTTCTTGCTTATTTTATAACCAGTCTTGGCCCACAAGTTCTCAATTGGGTTCAAATCCGGGCTCTGAGCTGGCTAATCCAGGAGTAGAACACCATGCTTCTTCATCCACTGCTGGACGGACTTGGCTCAATGACAAGGAGCAGTCATCCTGGAAGTAAAAGTCCTTCTCTACAAGTTGCTGAGCTGAAGGAAGCATGGTCTTTTCCAGAACTTCAACATACTGCTTGGAATTCATGATTCCCTGTACGATTTGTATCCGACCAATACCAGAAGCAGCGACACAGCCCCAGATCATCACATGAAATGGATGCTTCAGAGATAGATTTCAGCTGGAAACCTTCTGACATACTTATTGCACTGATTCCCAGTCAAGTAGAAATTGCTCTCGTCACTGAAGATGACCTTGGGCCACTGTTCTTTGGTCCACTTGGCATACTTCTTGGCCCACATACATCGCCGAGAGCGGTGAGCATCTGTGAGCAATGGTTTACTTTGAGCCCTGCAGCCTTTGAGTCCTCTGGCAAGCAATCTGCGACGCACTGTCCTTGTGCACACTTTTACATCACGTTTACCCCAAATTCTTGTAATCTGAGGTGAGATGAGCTTCCTGTCAGCCATCAAAATGTGTTGCAGAGGCCGATCTTTCCATTTTGTCCACTGTCTTGGTCTTCCAGAGCAGAACCTGTCATCAACTGAACCAGTTATTTGGTATTTTTCAACCACTCTGCTCACTGTGGTGCAATGGCATTTCACACTCTTGGCTATTTCTGTACAGGAGTAACTCTCTTCATGAAGCACAATGATGCGATGTNTTTTTTATATCCCCCTCCCCCCTTTTACTGTAAGCCGCCCTGAGTCTCTTTGAGAGTGGGCGGCATACAAAATTTAATAAATAAATAAATCTGACTTGTAATTTCATTTGGCATTTTACCTTTTAACAGGGGTCTCTCAGGGACATCTTTATCTGTGACTAGATTTTTGTCCTTCCTGGCTTCTTTGGTCAGCTGGGGAAGTATTAATTCCCTCCATTGAAGTGGTGGCTGTAGGGAAGAGATCAGTGTAGTAGCTTTGGTCCTGCAAGCGTTGACATCAACATGAGTCAGTTTGATCTTGATACTATCAATATGCTGATTAACTCCTAGTCCACATTGGGCCTCTAAGCCATGCTAGAGATGCTTTTGAAGTCTTCTCCTGATGCCTTGAGACTATATGGGTCTTGCTGGGAAAGGACTGAACCCTAGCAAGAAAGAGCTTTGGTTTGTACATCCCTTTATACCCCCTGCTTTCTCAGTTTGGCATGCTTATCAGTGATGACATATCACACCTGTCATATGCACTGGCTTCCTATTATATTGGATCCTACAATATAGTGTCATTTTCGGTAGCTTCTAATGAAGTTTTTCTTAATTAAGTTTGAATGATGATTTTTTAAAAATTATTTAAAGATATAAGACATGGGATTTTTTTATCTCTGTCTTAAGACAAAATACTGTATAAAGAAAGATTTTTTACTTGGTTTAAAGTGCGTGTGTGTGTCTGTCTATATGTATACTTCATAATATTTCATATTTGAAATATTAGAGAAGCTGTTACTGAAAAGGTTTGTACTTGTCTTGATGATGGTAAAAGTCGTTTCTTTATTTTTTCCTTATTCTTTATTTTTTATATTTTTCTCCCTTTGTCTTTCTCTTTATGCACTTTTCACTTTTTTATGTTTCTCCTAATTTGTATTCATGTTTTAACTTTGTATGTTTAAACTTCAATAAAAATTATCTTAGTAACAGATTTTTATTTTTTTACAATTCAAAGCCGTAGTCCTATAGAAAAAGGTGGAAATATGAATAACAATGCTGCCAACAATAAAACAACAATTAAGAAGAAGAAAAAAGCAAATCTGAGAAACATTGGAGGGAGGGTTCTGGGTCATAGAGGATCTTGGAGACCTTTAAAATAGAGAATGTCTTACAGCCAAAGATTTGATAATTGAGTCACCATTTTCTGTAAATCCTCTGTGCAATAACTATGTCATGCCAGATGTGGAAAATAGGCCTGTGTTGGACTAAAAAAGAGGAACTTTCTTTATTTAAGAAGGGATTAAAAATAGAGAAAGAAGAGGTTGCAGATGTCATTTTGTCTCTCTCAGGCATGAATATGGTGGCTAAAAACTGTTTATTTTATATGTTTGTTTGATTTATTTAAGGTGGCTGTTTATTGATAGTGCATATGATTATTTCAATTTATAATCAAATAATGGCTGCTAATAACAGAATTGAGGAGCTGAAGAATTGCCTCAGTATTTCTATCACAAGATCATCTGGGGAAAAAATTAATTCGGTATATTACAACTGCATTGAATTACGGTACGGATTGCAACACCTGCTTCAAATAAGGAAAAATGGCATAATGCACAAGCTATCACATATTCGCTTTCAGCTCTTGCATTGTCAAGTTCATATAATGATTTGGTGGATATTGTGTGGCTTCCTAATTAATGTGGAATTTGATGATTAGAATGAAAGCTATTCTTAAGGGCTTTCATGTCATTCCTATCTAGGCCTTTGAAGATGAATGCATCTGCTCCTTACTAAAGATCAGGAAACTGTAAGACAAACATGTGGGAGAAACTTGTGAGCAGGAAGAGATTAATGCCTGCCAAGTTAAATCTAATCCAAAGACAAATGATAAAAAAAATACACATGAGCAGGTGGCAGGAAAAAACAAACCAGAATTATTTGATTTATTCATTTCATCTTCTCTGAAACATACTCAAATGGCTTAGTTGCAAGCATTAACAGCAGAATTCCCTCTCGAGTAGGAACAGCCCTCAGTATCTGTATTTTAACAAACACAATTAGCTTCTTGGTTCTGGTTAACAGAGTAAGGAAGTAGGACATCAAATACTAAGAAATGGGTGTACAGTATTTCCATCAGAAGATTTTATTCTGTATAATCTTAATATTATCTTATAATGTATAAAACTACTTCAAGTTAAAAAAAACGAGGCAGTGTGTCAGAGACTCATGGTACCATCTAATTAAAGCATCATAATCAAAGGAGCTCTACTCACTCAGTTTCTGCCCCTGGTTTTATATACTACTACCAGGAGTGTGGGTAAAAAACGTCTTCGGAGAGCTGTCCTCAATCTTTTGGACACCCGGGACCAGTTCCATGAAGAAAGATTTTTCTGTGAACTGGAGGGGGCGTGGTTTTGCATGCTGCCTGAATCCCAGGAATGGGGCTTTGCATGTTTGCGTGGACTGGTTGCTGGCAAGCTGTGGACCATTGCTGGTCCACGGACCGGGAATTGGCGACCCCTGCTTTAGGACAATGTAGATACCAGAAAACTTACATGAGTTTGTTGAACTTTGCAAGACTGGGCCAGTTGCAAGCTGAGAAATAGTAGGACTAATTTAAAAACCTAAGCCTAGCAATGCTCGAGGCAATTATATTATCACTGCTGAAGTTATTAATAATAATCTGGAATGGTGGACTCCTTTTTTAGCATTTCTGTTTACTTTTATAAACAAAGCGTATATTCTATGTGAATGGGACTTGGCCATTATAGGGTCCATTTATTATTATTTTTTAAAGGTAATTAAATACAATTTAATTTTAAATACAAGCTGTACATTTTATATTCAATCTCTTTGTAATAAATTTACAGACTAGGTCAATTCAGTATATATATATATATACATATATATATATATATATATATATATATANTACTTACTTACTTACTTACTTACTTACTTACATGGTTTCTATGAGTGAAAAGTTGATTAAACATGTAAATACAGGGTAAAACTGTAAGTGTGCAGGACTTTTTCACACAGCTGTATACTATTAAAGTTTTTTTTAAATGTATGCCAAGGATTACACTTTAAAGAGGGATTTCCTAGCTTAATTATTATAGTATGCCAGCATAAACATTTTAGATTTATATATCTCTCATGTTGTTAATGCTCTATTGGAAGAATGTGTTCTGTAATCCTCAACCTCTTTCCATTTATTATGGTGTCCTCTGCTTCTCTACTCTAAGGAAGGGAGGTTGTCACAATATTGCTTCCGTGAGTTTGACTCTTCTTACTCCTTCCCCCTTTATCACCAAATATGGAATTATAGTTTTACATAAGTGTACAGTAGGAAATAACAAAAAAATTACCTCCAAAAGCACATTAAGACCAACTGCTGCACAAACATCTTGAATTTCCGTAGATGTAGGATTTTCAATAGCCTGCCCAAAAAAAAAACCCCAGAGATTTTTTAGCATCTATGATTTCTTGTCACCAATTAAGCTGAATGAATATTAATATGAATCAATTATCAGCTAATAGTATAATAATTTGGAGCCTTCCCCATTTTATTGCAATAGCATTAAAATGATTGTGTGCATCTTACATATTTATAGGAAAAAGAAAAAAAAATCCTAAAATATATTGAGGAACAATTGATTGAAACAACAAAAATTAATAAGAATTAATGGAAATATTTGGAGACATATGATATAGCTCATATAATGTATAGATATAAATTAATGTGAGTGTGCACAGCTTTAAATTTTGCAAGCCATATGCCAACTTTAAAAATTGGCACTGACTGCCCTCGCCAATTTGTTACCTGATACCAAAACAAAACAAAAAAAGAAAAATGTTTATGTAACAAAAATGTTACAGTTAAACCATGAAGTAATTATAGCTTGGAACTGAACTTTTTAATGTTCCTATAAAAATAAATTATGTAAGTCCTTTAATAATTACATTAAAACAACCAAGTCTTTTTATACATGCAAGACATAAATATGTGGTGGCCAAACTAACATTGTGGGTTAATGAATATATACAATAAGAAAGCTTCATTTAAAGGAAATACAAATACTACATCTTAATTTCTGATTAAGACTCCATCCATGAAATAGCCCAATATGTAAATCACACAAATATTTTATTTTACAAAGTTTTCAAATTATATTTTTGATGCACAGATTTTCCTTCCTCCCATCATCCACAATTACTTTGTCAAGAGGTATTCTTCTTCCTTCTGCTATTGTCTTCTTGTTATTTATGTAGGCTGGATATATACAGATAAACCTAAGGCAAGAAATAAGAATTGAAAGCTTGATAGGATACATAAAATAATATTTATTTATTCACATTCAAATATTCTTCCAAATATGGCATATGCAGAAATCCGCTATGGCTAAAAACTGTATGAGTGAAAGGGCTTATTTTTATATTTTTAAAGTTTACTAGGCAACCTACAATGGGTCATTTCAAAGACACTGCCTAACCTAAACAGAAAACTAGGGGCAAAAAAGCAATGGGAGTAGAGGCAACTTCTGATTTCTAGCTGGCCTGATAGTAGAACGAGTCGGCCTGGGTATCAAATGACTAAGATGGGATCAGCCTATGTATCTTCTTGGCAACAGTGTAGCAGCGCAGGAGCATTGAAGTGTCCACATATTTGCCAAATTTCAACCTGGGAAGCATGGGTCCCAAGTTTTGGATGCATTCTATAAATTAGCCCATCCAACCGAGCCCAAAAACTGGGGCCTTATGATGCACTGTTTGGCCCAATTAAATGTTACAGACACAAAAGTTTTAATAACCTATAGATACAACTGACGTGGATAATAAAAACATTTTGGCAGTGGTCTGCTCTCCAAGCTTGTTTCAATTTAGTTTGTGAACATTTCGTTACCAGTCTAGGTAACATCATCAGCAGGATTTTCTTGTCCTATTTTCCTTAGCCTATATGTCTTGTGTGCATGTGTGGTCAGTTGACCATGTGATTGGTTGTTCATTTGAAGCTATATTTAATTTCTGAGCAGCTGATTGGCTCTCTTGATTGGTCATTCGAATTGTCTGGTTTCTTACATATATGAATATGTTAAGAATAGGACAAGAAAATCCTGCTAGTGTTGTTACCTAGTCTGGTAAGGAAACATTCAGAAACTAAATTGAAAGAAACTTGGAGAGCAAATATAAAACCTCAACTACAAGTATTTTCTATTATTTCAAAATAAAAACATTTATTGATTTATATCCTATCTTTATTTTTTCTTAATAAACAACTCAAGGCAAGAAGTATATCTAATACTCTGTCCTACCCTACTTCTTTTAAGGTAAGAAATTAAGCTGAATTCTATGCATGAGCAATACCGCACTGAATGTTTGAGAAAAGAACAACTAAAACATTGATAGGAAGATTATGAAATTGAATGGCTAATTTGCTATCTTGTCTCCAACATTTTAACTAGATTTAATACAGTTGCTTATCACAACTGCAGATGTAACCCAGTTTTTTGTAGGGATAATTTCTCTTCCCTCATACACCAGCCTTCAACTGGTGGGCTAGAACCACAGTTAGACACCGCATGGGTTACAAGAGCAGCATTACCACCAACCAAGGATATGACTAAAGAGAAGAGGCTCCCAAAATATGTGGGCATCTGCAGGGAGGGCATGAATGGGCACCTCCAGGAAAAGCACCTACAAAGGGGACATGGATATCACACCATCATGGCAGTGTCATACAAATTATGTAAACCCATAACTAACGCAATTTATATAATCAGACATTTATATGACACACAATGAGACATGTGACCTCAGGCGTCTTATGAATTGTGCGCTGCATTGTGCGCTGTCAAAAAAAAATGGATCCCAGAAACTTAGATAATGGATTGTCTGTTAACTCACATAATTCATTATTCAAGCAAAGTAGGATGTTTGCTTTATAAAAATTTAATCAGTTAGAAGGCTTAAGATTTTGGACCAGGAGCTGAGCAACAAGGGTGTAGTCCACCCCTCGGGCAAGAAATTCAGCGGGTGACTATGGGCCAGTTGGGTTGTTGTTGGGAGGAAAAAAGCAGAAAAGAGTTCTTTGTGCTCTTTATACTCTTGAAGAAAAAGGGGAATGAATGAATGCCTGGAAAAACTCTATTGTAGCCATTATTTCTCCACCCTTCCTGCTACAGTTATGAAAAACAGTGAGGGGAAATACAGGTAGTCCTCAACTTACAACTGTCCATTTAGTAACCATTCAAAGTTACAATGGTACTGAAAAAAAGTGACTCATGACAGCTTTTCACAAGTCAGATGCTCGGCAACCGATTCGTATTTATGACAGCTGCAGTGTCCTGTGTGTGTGTGTGTGTGTGTGTGTGTGTGTGTGTGTGTGTTTGTTTGTTTGTCAGGGGATCAGCTTTTGCGATCTTTTGATAAGCAAAGTCAAGGAGAAGCCAAATTCACATTGTAAAATGGGGCAAACTCACTTAACAAGCGTCTCACTTAGCAACATATATTTTGGGCTCAAGTGTGGTCATAACTCGAGGACTATCTGTCAGAGCAGGGACCACGAAACGAAGCCCCTCCGCGCGCAAAGCCAACGGGCTCCTTTATGGAAGCCACCGGATCGCCCCCGTCGAGTTGCGCAGAGCCGACCCCAAGGGAAACGGGGCAGCCACCACGGTCGCCGCCGCCCTGCAGCAGAGGTCCCTCTCCCCCTCCCCCACCCTCTCTCTCTGAGGTTCGGCCACTCTCTCGGCCGCCGCGCCCGACCTCTCCCCAAAGCCGCCCGAGCCGAGGGGAAACCTGCGCATTCCCGGATTAAATTAAAGCCCAGTCCGTACAACGCGCGAATCGGGGGCGATTTGCCGACTCGCGGCTCCCGCGCACCCTGGTAGAGAGCCCCGGGGCGGTTTCCCTTCCCACGTTACCGAGATTTATCGGAGGGTAAAGAGGGGGCAGCCCAAGCCATGGCCTCCGCATCGGCAGGCGGCAGCGGCTTTTTGTGACTCAGCCATTCACCGATCACGGCGAATCGAGGACCGGAAGCGGAGAAAGCCAAACCAGCTGCCCCGCCTTTGCGTAGCGATATCGTTCGATCTCACTGGCTAGTGGAAGTGTCGCTCATGGATAAACCGGACGCTAAAACAGCCAGGGACTATCTTCGCTATCGCGAGAGCTCCTGTCAGGTTGGGTGACGCATGTACGATAGAGATGGGAAATCGAACTGCGGGCGGAAGTCCCTGATTTTACCTCCTGGCCGGGCGGGTGACGTAGCAAACCACAAAGATGTTTCAAGATTATATAGAATGGGTGGCATGAAAAGCTTCGGGGTAGTGATGCAGTTTCCATGCTGGCATTGTTGTTGCACGTAACGGATCCTTCCTTCCTTCCTTCCTTCCTTCCTTCCTTCCTTCCTTCNTGAGTAAGAAATCCTCTTAAAGAATGAATCAAAAATGTCAAACCAGTTCTATGGGAATAATAGTTTCCAAAAGATCACTTATTATGGCAGATATTGTCTATGACAGTGGTTCTCAACCTTTCCAATACCACGACCCTTTAATACAGTTCCACATGTTGTGGTGACCCCCAACCATAAAATTGGTATCTTGGTTCCTAAGACCATAGAAAATATGTGTTTTCCGATGGTCTTAGATGACCCCTGTGAAAGGGTTGTTCCAGACCCATAGGTTGAGAACCACTGCTCTATGACAAGGAGATAGCCATGTGGATATCCCTAATTATTACATGCAGATATTATGCTGATAGTGCTATTTTACTTAAATATTCAGCACATGCAATAATTTTATTCTGGAAATATGAATCTAATACAGAAGGATGAAAAGGAAACAGGCCTACTCAGCGGGCTCTGCTGAAACAGTGGCTCCTCCACTCCTTATAAAAGATTCATTATGTTAAGATCTGATTCCAGAATTTGCCCTCAACCTCAAATCATTAATAGAATATCTGTGATTGAATGGATCACTAAATAATTCAATAAAACAGTATTCTCACCTATGGTCCTCATTTGTAGCAATCAAACTAGACACATTACGAAGAATTCCCCCTCCACTTTCAATGATGGCTAAAGTATTTGTTTGGCTTCGGTATGTCAGTGTGCCAACCAAAAAGGCAAGAGCACCATCCACTGCACATATATCAGCTTTATTCTCAGTGCAATGCGCTGATAGATTCCATAAGGCACTCAATACACTTTTCAGCGTAGATTCCTGCAGAGAATAAAACATTACCTTAGATTTCTTAGTTATATAAAAAACATTAACTTTATTTCAGTAGGAAATACCTTAAGATAGTGGTCCTCAACCTTTGTAGCCTGGCAACCTGGCGGGGATGGGACAGGACTGGGGCGCATGTGTGTGCAGCTCAACTCGTGCAAGAGGTGGGCCAGGGGGCATGTGCATACACATGCTCTCAACTGCAAGTTGAGCTGTGCACGTGTGTGTGCTGCCCCGCTGCCTGGTTGCGAATAGGTCATGGGCCAGTAGTGGGCCATGGCCCAGGGCTTGGAAACCCCATCTTAAGATATCAGTGGATAAGTGGATTAGTAGATAAGTTGGCCCTGCAGGATCAATAATTTTCTATGCCCCTCACAAATGCTTGGCAGGCCTTCTCTTCCGCCTTCCCTTTTTGTTTAAAACCACTGCCCTATCCATGGCAGCAACCATGTAGCAACTTTATCAGTGTATGAGTCTATGTCTATATGTGAAACAGAATATGTGTCTTTATTTAAATATGCAATGAATTTGTGTATGTGTAAATGTACATAACATTTACTGTTATGTCATTGGAAATATACCATAGGCATTTTATTATTTGATAGTAATGCAGTGATAGCTTCTTCACTGTGGCACGGGAAAAAACAAATAAATACATTTATGCATACATGTACATTATCAGATGTAGACATATTATAGCACTAATAAAAATTTCAAATTGTTACCCTTATAAGGTTTATGGGAGAGCACCTGTCCCCCCAAAATCAAGGTACTTATTTTGGTAGTTACTTCCTATCAGCTTTTGTAACAATTTAAATTTAAGCATATTTATCAATATCATTTACTAGGTGGAAATTACTTTATAAATTCAAATAGACTTTAATCTATGGTAACTAACTAATTTTACCCAACATATTCAGTTATTTCACTGTGATTCAAAAGTAATTAATTTAATCCACACCCAACTAAATTTGTTCCAAACTATTACTGTAAAGTAATATACAAATAAAAACAACAATTAGGAAAAAAAGGCTAGTGTGTAGTTTATTTAGAAGAGTACCATCAGTGGAAAAGACTTTTTAAAACCAATTGCTCCTGCTAGCTTCCTTCCCAGAGGAGCTTCCACTTTCAAGGAACTATTACTGATAAAAGATTGTCTTCTTTGCCAAAAGTAACTATTTGAACTCTCTCTTTTATGTATTATTCTTAAACGAGGAAATAGAATTTTTTAATATATTTAAATACTAAAGAAACACTCATTTGCTACAGTACCTTTTTAACTTCCAAAGCACATTCCATCAGTGCTTTCACACTCCCAACCTCTCGTAGTGTCTTCTTACTATTCACATCTGCCCGCCAAGACAAATTTCTTAAAACACTTGCAATAACCTATAATATTGTCAGTGAAATAATAGAAAAAGGTAATGTGCTTTAATTACCATGCATTTAATAGACTCTTATTTGGTATTGTGAGGAATAGTTTATTATTCATTTTAATATGCTAGTTTATACAGTAGTACCTTGATACTCAACTGGTTTGAAACTCTTGGTACTCAATGCAATTTGACATGAACATTTCCCCCTGGTATTCATCATTTGTTTGGTACTCAACGTACCAGCTAGAACTTGCCAGTGTTGGATGTCTTGTGACTCGTTACACTATTTTTTTATAGGAAAAATTGTTTGGTATTTTTTGTTTTTGGTATTCATTGTACCTCCCAGAACCAATTAATGATGAGTACTGAGGTATCACTGTATATTGATTTTAAATAATTCTGTGCTTGAGACTTTGAGTCAGAAATGTAGAACATCATCTTTTTTAAATTTATCATAAAAATTCTTGACAATAATAGACATTTACCATGAGATAAAATGGTATCTATAAATCTCTATCTCTATTTTTCTATGTTTTTTACACTATTCATCTGTAAATGAAAGTGTTCTAATACATTATTATGAAATATGAAAACTTTTTCAATGTAATTATTTTAGCATAAAGTATTCAATATAAAAGAAAATATTTCTCAGAATACGAAAATAAATTGCACCTAATAAAATCCTTAATATAGTTTGTTAATAGCATATTATCGTATTTGATTGACTTTCAGACATGAATTAGTTCAACTCAACATTCATTTAGAATTCCTTAAAAAATCAAAAGGAAAATAACATTTAATGCTTGGCAATTTAGTGACTTTAGTGTAGCTCCTCAAAGTTGTCCCTGGTCATATCAATTGTTTTTTTCTTCAAAAACAAATTAAAAAAATTATGTCACTCAATATACTAATTGAAAGATTACAAAATAAGAAAATAAAAAGGGAAAACTTTTGAAAAACCAGAAGATCCAGATAGTAAATTACAGTATACAAAAGAAGGAAAAAAGAAACATTGCATGAAAGTTATAAATATATAGAAACAGACTACCCGAGCAATGAAGTTTACCTGCTGCAAATCTTCACTTTCAGATTTTAACTGGGCTACTAAAGCTCTCATGCATCCCTTCATAGAACACAAAGTAGCCTATTTGAAAGAGAGAGAGATTTTATGAAGCACGTAATTAGATGTATGTTGGCAGTTGATGATACATTATCTAATGGATTGTCAAGATAGAATTCTTTTCTCTGTTTTTGCATTTAGTCCACTAATGGCTTCTCATAAAACTAAAGTAATAATTAAATGAGAATGACAAACATAATAAGTTAAAAGCAAGTTTTTTTTCTAGGAGAGGTTTAAGAGAACATCTTAGTTGAGAACTCCAAACCTAATTGAATACCAAAAGGGGGAAGATTCCTCCCCAAATCAATTGGGGGGGGGGTTGAAATAAACATCTCAAAAAATCACAGTAAAGCAAGCACACTTCCAAATATAAATTAAAATGGTTCATGGATAAGCAGAAATAACATATAATTATAGATCAACATTCATTGCATAAGATGAAACAAAAAGAGCTGGATCTTAGCTCATTATAATTAGTTCACACAAGAAGAAAACTGCTAATGATAGATTCAGATGGCACCTACATTCAGAGTTTACAACAAGACTTAAAATAGCAAGAATCAATCTGTGAAGTACAACAGCATCTATTAGAATAAACAGAAATAAATCCAAAGAGATTCAAACCTACCTTGTTGGCTACATCTCCAAAAGTTAAATTTGTTAGAGCCATTCCAGCGTATCGTCTTAATGTGACACTATAATGGTCATTAGTAAGCCCATACATTTCACAATCTACCTGTAGCAATTCTGCAATGGCTTGTAAACCCCCTATTAAAATGATTGAAAGATTTGTTAGAAATATTTTGGTAAATTGGTATATTTATTCTCAAAAATTCCTTCCTTAAAAATGTTAATACAGAAAAAGAAAGAAAAAACAAAAATAATTATTATGGCTTTATTGTATACAAGAGAAACAAAACTGATCACTCTTCTTAGGTTTATAATCCTGGATTACAGATATATGGTCAGTTTCTATTTATTGATTTAATGGAAACTCTAATGAATATTATTTTGTGAGGTTTAATAATTTCTTTAAAATTTAGAATAAATTAGTGTCTTGTGTGCTCTAAATTTCAAATTTTATTGAATGCTCCAAATTTTCCTGTATGCTCCAAACTCCAAATTTTATCTTTGTAAGCCACCAGGAGTCACTAGTGTGAGTTGGGTGACTATATAAATTTTCATTCATTCCAACATATATAAAATGTAAATATGAAGCAAGGGAATTACGCTGTGAATAAATTCAGTGGCTGCTCTGAAAACTCCTGCTGGTTATTGATGCATGTACAACCTTTGGGCTGAAACTGCCAGTGAAGCAAGATAATA